CCGAGACCGATTTCCTGGTTGGGGTCACTTCCGGTCACCCCCCCACACCTCCGATATCAATATATATATATATATATATATATATGTCTTTTACTCTCTCTCTCTCTCTCTCTATCTCGTTTATCCGTAAGGGCTTCGCCCCATGCCGCCGGCCCCTTGTCTCGGATAATGGGATACGCAAAAGCTAAATCATGAGGTCTGGGCGCCGCCGTGAAGCAGTGTCAGGACCTGTTTGTTTTCCGACCCTGACTTTACGGACCTGCGTCAGGGGTGCCACCGACTTTCAGAAATGTGGCTATTCCTTTTTGTTTTTGGACCCTGACCCTACGGACCTGCGTGAGGGGTGCCGCCGGATTTCAGAAATGTGGCAAATCCCGTACGTTTTTGGACCCTGACCCTGCCGATCTGCGTGAGGGGTGCCGCCCAATTTCAGAAATGTGGCAAATCCCATGTGTTTTTGGACCCTGATCCTGCCGATCTGCGTGAGGGGTGCCACCGAATTTCGAAGTGTGGCAAATCCCATGTGTTTTTGGACCCTGACCCCGCCGATCTGCATCACGGGTGCCGCCGAATTTCAAAAATGTTGCAAATCCCATGTGTTTTTGGATCCTGCCCCCGCCGATCTGCGTGAGGGGTGCCACCGAATTTCAGAAATGTGGTAAATCCCAGATGTTTTTGGACCCTGACCCCGCCGATCTGCCTGAGGGGAGCCGCCGAATTTCAAACATGTGGCAAATCCCATGTGTTTTTGGACCCTGACCCTGCCGATCTGCGTGAGGGGTGCCAGCAAATTTTTGAAATGTGGCAAATCCCATATTAGAAATGTGGCACATCCTCTTTTGTTTGTGGATCCTGACCCTGCCGATCTGCGCGAGGGGTGCCACCGAATTTCAGAAATGTGGCAAATCCCATTTGTTTTTGGACCCTGACCCCGCCGATCTGCGTGAGGGGTGCAAGCAAATGTTTGAAATGTGGCAAATCCCATGTGTTTTTGGACCCTGACCCCGCCGATCTGCGTGAGGGGTGCCAACGAATTCCAGAACTGTGGCAAATCCCATATGTTTTTGGACCCTGACCCCGCCGATCTGCGTGAGGGATGCCAATTTTACCCACCCCAGCAATTCAGACAACACGCTCAGGGCGTGCTAAACCTGCCCGTTTGGGCCTCCCCCCCCCTCGCGCGGTCCATCAACAAGGAACAGCAAGCAGCAAGAAGCAGAACTGCAACAGTGGAAATTTGAAGCTGCAACTGGCACAGGAAACTGCGAACCTTCGGCCTACAGCCTGGTGGCCCCACAAGGGGGCCTGCGGACCTTTCATCCCTATTTGGACTGCTGCTCCGTAGAGTCTCTTGTTGTGACCGGGCTGTCGACTTGCCATTCCTCTTCATTCTCGTCCTGCCGTCGCTTCTGTCTCCACCGTGATGTGATGCGGACGATCCTTTTGCATATAGCCGCCCGTCGGTCTCACGTTCACTCCTCCTTCCCATCGAGACAGGCTTCTCCCCTGAACTAGCGTTCTCTTTCACGCTCAGCCGCTCCCGAGGTTGCGGCGGGCGTATGTACACTGGGAGATAGTTGCCTTGCGCTTGGGACAATTTATCAATTTACCCTCCCGGGGCCCCTCCTCCCCCCTGGGGGGGAGGAAGGGCTCCTGGAGGGAAGGGAGAGGTGGGGGGGAATCGGGGGGCCCTTCCTCCCACATGGTCATCCCTCTTCCTCCCTCCTCCTCTCTCTGCCTCCCTCCTCCCCCCTACAGCAAAGTCATGGGGTCCCAAGGCACCCCCTCCTCCTCCCTCTCTCCCCCCCTTCTGGCCCCTCCCGCCCCCTTCCCCTTCACCTCCTGCCCTGCCCCCCCCCCGAAGCTAAGGCTGGTGGCATCGGAGTTCTGTGCTATCGCCCCTCTGCTCCTCCTCCCCTCTCTTCCCGTTTCCCCCTCCTCCTCCCTCCACATCCCCCCTCCTCCTCCTCCTCCTGCTCCTCCTCCTCCCCCGTCCTCCTCCTCCTCCTCCTCCTCCTCCTCCTCCTCCTCCTCCTCCCCCGTCCTCCTCTTCACGCTGCGCGGAACTCGCCTTGCCGAGAGGCTTGCCTCCTCGCCGCAGTGGCAGCTCGCCCGCCCGCCGCAGCGGCAGCGGCCGCGCTCGCGCGTGCTCCGGGGGCGCCGACGCCTGCGAGGGCGGGCGCGGCTCGCGCCCTGGGGGGGGGGGACTTCAGCAGGCGCGGGGCCCAGGGCCGAGGCGAGCGGCGGGCGGGTGGCGCCCATGTCCGACGACAGCGACGACGATGACGGCCTGCTGGACGCGTGCCGCGGCAGCTCGCTCTTTCCCAGTGGGGGCGCTCGTCGGCCGACTGCGTCAGGAAGGCATGGGAGGGGAGTGGACGGAGGTGGAGGAGGAGGAGGAGGAGGAGGAGGGATCTAGAGGAGGAGGAGGAGGAGGAGGAGGAGGAGGAGGAGGAGGAGGAGGAGGAGGAGGAGGAGGGGGGATGTGGAGGAGGAGGAGGAGGCGAAGGCAGCGAAGGAGGAGGGGCAGATACATACTCTCCCCCAGCGTCCGTCTGGGTCGGGTGCTCTCGCCTAGGCAAGCTCCGATATCGTCTTCCCGCCGCCATCCCGTGTGGCCGAAGGTCCAGGGGCTAGCCGGGGGCGGTGTCTGCTCCAGGGGGTAGATGCCAGACGCCAGTGTCCAGGGAGAGCAGGGGGGGAGGTGTTGTTTCCTTTCGCAGTCCGACAGTGGAAGGTCCATCATATGGATGCGTCGTTCTCGGTCGATGCCTCGTGCATTCTCTGCGGGGGTGGCGCCTTGCGACGGAACCGCCTGGATCGGGGCGGGGAGATCACATGCACCGATCCTGACCAGGCCCATCGTGGGCCCAGAGTCGGTGCATACGCCTCGCTGGCCCAGCCAGGAGTGCGCATGCACCGATCCCGGGCCTGAGGTTGGCCAGGACCGTCAGGGGCAACGAAACGGGTACTCACTAACGGGTACTTCGGAACGTTGCCGAAAGTTGCCACCTTAGGGCGTCTTTCTGGCATTGCAGCGTTGCTCACATCGGGAAGGGTTGGGTTCGCCGGGTCACTGGCCAAAGTACCCATCAGTGGAGTCTCCGTTAAATGGGCGTTGAGATCGCTGTGTGTGTTCTCTTCTCTCTCGACGGTGCATGGTGGGCCCGGCCGGCAGTGCGTGCCCCGCATGCCCATGCCCGTCGTCCCTCAGGCCCCCTCCCGCCGTCGGCCAGCGCCCGCTGCCCCTGTCGGGCCGGACGAAAGGTCAAGCAGTGGCGAAGCGTCTTGGCTCGCCGATACCCCTACCAAATCATGTTCTAAGACCCTTTTGTGGTTTCCACGAACTGTTCTTAGAACATTTCTGGCGGAATCTGTCTTGTTTTATCACGTCACGTGGGGTCTATGTTCTGAGAGCATTATTGCGAAGGCCTTATGGTCGTTGTCGCCGACCGTCTGAGAGCGACAAATATGAAAACGAGAGGGGGCAGGGTGGAGGAGGTGGATGAGAGAGGAGGAGAAGGGAGAAGGATGTGGAGGACTGCCAAGTACGCTATCGACTTGAGGGCGCCTAAGCCCATCTTTAAGGATGAGGAGAGTCAAGAGGAGGCAGAGCAGAGCAGCATGAGGCCAGAGGCTTTCTTGGGACAGCCTCTGGCTCTCCTGAGGCCGTCTTGTGCCGTCCAAGGCTCCTCTTGCGCCGTCTCGAGGCACTCTTGGAGGTCTCCTGGGCAATTTGGGGCTCTCCTGGGCTGCCTTGGGGCAGTTTGGGGGCCCCTTGGAGCTTCTTCGGGGCCTCTTGGGCGCCTCTTGGGGCTGAGAGCTCGAAATGTCCGTTCGGGTCATCCGTCTGGGCACTCTGCTGGAGCCGTCTTGGGGGCCTTTTGGGCCGTCTTTGGGGCGTCTTGGGCCGTCCTGGGGCCCTCTTCGGCCGTTAGGGGACCCTCTTGGGGGCCTCGTTGGCCGTCTCGGGGCGATCTTGGGGGCCTCTGGGCCGTCTTGGCGCGTCGGGCAGCGGAAGAGGCAAGAACGCCAAAATCTGTCAAAAACGTATGGGAAATCCATGAATGTTGCCTCTTGGGGCGTTCGTGAGAAAGCTCCTGGAGGCCTCTTCGGGGCGCTTTGCAGCCCTCTTGGGCCGTCTGGAGGCCGTCAAGGCGTCTTGGACAGATCGTTCGGCGATTCGGGGTTCTCTTGGACTGTCTTTGGGGCCTCTTGCGGCGCTCTTGGCCCGTCTTGGAGCTTTTTGGGGCTCCGGGACTCCCGGGTGGGTGGGGCGTTTGACCCCCCTCCCCCCCCCAGGAACCCCCCTGACACCCCTCCCCCCCCATGGCGGGGGAGGGATCGAAGGGAAGGGGCTTCCCTTCGACTCAATTACGACGTTGGTCAATTTCGCTTTGGCTGGCGCGCTGAGGAGGTCCCTGGGGCTGCCCGTCGACTCAAGTACGACCAACGAATGACAGAGAGGGTGGAGGCAGGGAAAGGGGACGACAGAGACGACGACCAACGACTGACGGAGATGACGAGTTGAACGGACAAGCCCCTCACACACGCCGACAGGGTCGGCGGATTTTTGTTCTTAGAACATTTTTGGGTTCTAAAAACATTCCGTGGTAGGACTATAGGAATGCCGGGACGGTCGGTCCCTGCTCAACGAAAGGGGGGGATTGGGAACGGTGGGGTTACGAAATTTTCTGCATGCAGCTGGTTTCGGCCCCACCGAGGGTTCGATTCCTCGATACATGGCCGCCTCCCGGCGCCGGGAGGCGCCGGGAAAAAAAAGCAGCTACGTGAGCTGATTCTCATCCCCCCCCTTTGCTATCCCCCCCTTTCGCCCGGCCCGACGCTCCCGCTGTCGGCCAGCGCCCGCTGCCACTGCCAAAGCTGATAGCAAGTCCCGCCTCCCAACTCCCTCCCCAAAACTCCTCTTCCTCCTCTCTCCCCTCACCTTGTCCTGGGCACGCTGGCCTTCCCCCTCCTCCTCCTCCTCCTCCTCCTCCTACTACTACTACGATCCCATTCGCGCCAAATCCGATCCGAACACACGACGACGCTGGGCAACTCTACTCTACTAGAGCTTGGCTTTCCGAAAAGGGTTCAGCCTCGTGGTTGGCCCAGCCAGGGCCGAAGACCACACGAGGGCGGAACGCCGCCAGAAGGCGGCCAGGGGAGGATGGGCCAGGGAGAGCGAGGCACCCCACTCCACCAAGCCAATCCCCCCCGAGCGGGGGAGGACACAAAGCCGATCCCTTCCCAGAACGCCAGCCCCTCGCCCGCTGGCGGCCCGCGCGGGCCGCGGCGCAGCTACTGCTAGACCTTGCCCAACTTCTGCTTGGGCATCTTCGCGCCCGCATGGATCTCTGTGCCACTCCGCCTTAGGATGTCCACTCCCTCCCACCCCTCCAGCACCTCGTCCAGCAGTTGGCAGATCGCGTCTTCAAGGTCCACCAACTCGACCATCGATGCGGTCTCTAGTCGCTCTTGAACTCGGTCGAACACCCAGTCGGCCATGATCCCTTGCAGCTTGTTGGTGACATCCTCGGGAGAGATGAATGTATGCTCTGCAAAGGCTGGCTCGTCCTCCTTCTCGCTGAAGCCGTCCCCCCTCGTTGTCTTTGGCGGTGTGTGAACTGCCTCTTTCTCTGCAGGGCTAGGAGTGACCGGGGCACCAACGCAAACCTCCACATCGCCATCAGCCGGCAGAGCAGCAGCGGCTTCAACAGGTACTTCATCGGGCCCCCGGTTCCGGAGCTTCTCCCACGCGAACTTCCTGAGGCGCCTCCTCCTGAGGGTGCGGCGGCATCCGCCTGCGGCACCGGGGTGCGCCGCGGTCGCCACATGCACGTGAGGCACCAGGCCAGGTGGCGGCTGCAGCAACGCTACGCCGCATCGGGCCGCCCAAACCCCATCGCTGCTCAATCTGTCGTGTGGCATCTGCTAGGGTTTCTTTCAAAGGTTCCTCCTCCTCCTCCTCCTCCTCCTCCTCCTCCTCCTCCTCCTCCTCCTCCTCCTCGGTCGCCGAACGCGTTCCACTACTCGCAAAGTGCCTATTTCGCAAACGACCGAACATCACCTGCCTGCTTTGATATCACTTCTCGTACATCCCCCGCGAGGGGTCCTGGCCATTTGCGAGTAGGCACCTTGCGAGTAGTGCAACGCGCTCGTCGACTCGGGGCGCGCCCTGTGGCTCCCCCGCCGCCCGCGCCCCGGCGCCCCAGCCTCTGCCCTCCGCCGCTCTCCGCCTGCCGCCCCCCCCCCCCGCACTCTCCCCCTGCTCTCCCTCGCGGCCCGCCCGCCACCGCATCCCCGGCGCTCCCGCGGGTGGACGCATCCTTCGGGGGGCGCCCAAACTCGGGCCGGGGCGCTCCCGCGGGTGGACGCATCCTTCGGGGGCCCCCAAGCTCGGGCCGGACAAAGGGGTGGATTGGGAAAGGGGGCGGTACGAAACTTGCTGCATGCGGCTGGTTTGGGCCCCACCGAGGGGCCCATGCCTCGATACATGGGCGCCTCCGGCGCCGGGAGGCGCCGGGAGAATCAGCTACGTGAGCTGATTCTCACACCCCCCCCTTTGCTATCCCCCCCGTTCGCCCGGCCCGACAAACGGGGTGGTGACCACACCGTGCTGTGAGTCGGTGGGGATTCGGGTTCACCGCACGGTTCTGGGATTCGGGTGATTCTCCGAGGACGTCTCGGGCTCGACAGGGGCATCCGTGGTCCCAAGACCCTGCGGTGACGGACCGTGCGGTGAGGCTTTGGGGGATTTCGAGGTCACCGCACGGTCTGTCACCGCACCGCTTCGGGACTCCAAAGTCATGTTCACCTCTCTCCTTCCTCCTCCCCCCGCAGCCAGCGCCTTCCTGGCGCACCGCTGCACCTGCTCCTGGCGCGAAGTCACCCTGGAGCGTCACGCGCCGCGTTCTGTGGCCCGCCGCTCGCAGCGCCGCCGACGCGGCAGGCGGCCGGGGATGTCGCCCAGTGGAGCATGGCGTTCCCTGGTCCTCTTGGCATCGCTCGGACGTATGCATTTTTCCTTCAGCGAGGACCATCGAGGAGCTTCCTTGATCATTTGGCGAAAGAACCACGCACGAAACCGAAAAAAACACAGGGAATGAACGTCCGAGTGATGGCCAGTCCCGAGCTGGACAGGAGCGAGCCCAGCGATTGTCTAGGCCTCCCGGATGGAGTTGGAGGATCGCGCCGCATCGGCGATGCATCGGCGATGCGGCGCGAGGCGGTTCCCGATTTCATCCACACTGACGTCGCCGATGCATCGCCGACGTCACAGACGCATCGGCGATGCAGCGGCGATGCATTGGCGATACGGTGCGATCCTCTGACCCCGTCTACAGTCAAGTCTCATACTGAGAATGAGTAACTCTCCAAGGCTATCCTTGCACCCTTGCCCCGTCGGCCCATCCTGAGCGACTTTCTCGGATCGGAACTCCCCCAGCCTGTTGAGAAGAGAAGTGTTCGAAGCCTCCCCCGAAGACGCAGAGAACTCCTCAGAAGGCCAGAGGGCTTCTGAGAAGCCCCGCCGCCTTCTGAGAGGGCCTTCTCCTTCTCACTTCCCCCCCTCACTCGCCGCGGACTCTTGGGTTCACTGACGAACGAACAACGCACACCCATACCCATAGGGGGGACGGAGGGGCTGTGGGTATGCGTTGTCGGATGGGGTCCCCCTCGAAAGTAAGCCCCCCCAGGGTGCGACAACCCGCACCCATACCCGAGCCATTCCTCCTCCCTCTGGCCCCCCTGTGGGTACGAGTGTGTGTTTTTCGTTCGTCATGGACCTCGCCTGGGAGGCCCCTTACAGTCAACCCGCATGGCAACCTTCCCAAAGGTACCCTTGCATCCTTGCCTCGTCGGCCCATCCTTGGCCGCTTTCGTTTGCCGCGCCCCGCTCGAAAAGGTTCGAAATGGGCGTCCGAGACCCTTGCATCCTTATCGCGCATGCTCACTATACGGGTTGACTGTATGGGTACGGAAGGTTCATGCGGCGTTGGCGCGCTGGCGCCGCGGCGAAGGCGTTCAAGGTTGAGTTCTGCGACGAGGAAGCACCGAGGGTCACGGTAACGCCGTTTGACCCGACGGATTTCGACCTCGAACGATCGGGGCCGCGATCGGTTCAAGGTTGAACGATCGGCGCGGTGTCAAAAACCTTTCGCACGCGCCGACGCCGCGCGAACCTAGCGTACGGGTGTCTGTTGTTCGCCATGTTTTCCTTCGGCGGCGTCCCTCGTCCCTCCTCCTCCTTGCACGGTGCCACACTCCGCTCCAACGGAACCCCCGCCGACGCCTCTCATCGCCAGCGCAGTCACCCTCTGCGCAGCCGCCGACGCCACGAAGTCTGTTGTCCGCTCGTCCTCCACCAGGAGGACCTCGTCCTGGGAGGAGGAGGAGGAGGAGGAGGAGGAGGAGGAGGAGGAGAAAGAGGACCTCGTCCTGGGAGGCCCCTCCGCGTGCCCGCGGAGCTGCCCCCGCGGGCCTCGGCCCGGGGCCTGCCGCCGCCCCGCGCCGCGCGTGCGCCCCCAGGAGGTGCCGCCGCCGCCGCCGCCGGAGAGCGAGGCCGCCCGGGGGGCGGGAGCGCCAGCGCGGGCGGGGTGCGCGGAGTCGGTGGCTCGAGTCGGCAGCGAGCAAGGGCGAGAGGAGAGAAGGCATGAACAAAAAGGGGCGAGGGAAATGGGGGAATAGGAGAACAAAAAGGGGCGAGGGGAAAAAGGGGCGAGGGAAAAAAGGGCGAGGGGAATAGGGGAGCAAAAAGGGCGAGGGAAAAAAGGGCGAGAGGAGAGAAGGGGAATAGGGGAACAAAAAGTGGCATAAACATAAAAACTCGGAGGCCCGCGCGGATTTCTCGGATCGGCGCTGGACCCCCCGCCCGTGGCTCGCGGAGCGCGCCAGGGGCGGCGCCGCAGGCGCCGCCGGGGGGCCCCAGCGCCGATCCGAGAAATCCGCGCGGGCCTCCGAGTTTTTATGTTTATGCCACTTTTTTGTTCCCCTAGAGAAGGCCCTCCAGGGAGAAGGACTGGCTATGGGTTATGGGTGCGGGTTGCGGCACCCTGGGGAAGGCTTCCGTTCGAGGGGGAACCCCATCCGACAACACGCAACCACAGCCCCCAATCGTCGTCGTCGTCGTCGTCGTCGTCCTCGTCGTCGTCGTCATCGTCATCGTCATCGTCATCATCGTCGTCCCTGCCGCGATCGGCAGACTATGTCTCCTCCTCCTTCCCCATTCCCCCCACTCCTGTGCTGCGCATGCGCCTCCCCCGTTCGCCGTTCCGCCGTCTCTCCTTCGCCATTGCGATCTCTGGGATCGCGAGCTCGATGTCGATGTCGATGTCGATGATGGTAATGATGGTGAGGAGGATGTGGATATGGATGATGATGATGATGATGATGATGATGGTGATGATAGTGATAGTGATAGTGATAGTGATAGTGATAGTGATAGTGATAGTGATAGTGATAGTGATAGTGCTGATGATGTGATGATGTTGACGATGATAGTGATGATGTCGATGATGTCGAGGATGATGGTGATGATGGTGATAATGATGATGGTGGGGATGGTGATGGTGATGGTGATGGTGATGATGGTGATGATGGTGATGGTGGTGATGATGATGGTGGTGATGATGATGTTGACGGTGATGATGATAATATAGGTGATGATGATGATGGTAATGATAGTGATGATGGTGGTAGTGGTGGTGGTAATGATGATGTGATGAAGTGGTGATGTTGATGCTGATGGTGGTGGTGGTGATTGTGATGATGGTGGCGATGCTGATGCTGATACTGATGCTGGTACGGATGATGGTGATGGCGATGCTGATGATGCTGATGATGATGATGATGATGGTGATGATGATGGTGATATTGATGATGCTGAGGATGATGGTGATGATACTAATGATGTTGAGGTTGATGACGATGTTGATGATGTTGATGATGGTGGTGGTGGTACTGATGATGGTGATGATGGGGATGGTGATGGTAATGATGATGCTGATGATGATGATGGTGATGATGACGATCATCATGATAATGATGGTGATGATGTTTCCCATGATAATGAAACACTGGTGATGAAGAATATGATGATCATGATTACGATTATGATGATGACAACGATGATGATGCTGATGATGATGATGATGGTGCTGATGATGATGGTGCTGATGATGATGATGATGATGATGATGATGATGATGATGATGATGGTGATGGTGATGGTGATGGTGATGGTGATGGTGATGACGTTGACAGTCATCGTCATCGTCATTGCCAGCGTACGCGCGCAAAGATGGACCATGACACACAATGGCGCGTTATCGCGTATCGAAGATAAGGCGACCATCACGTCCCATCGACTGAACCGCACAAACACCTTCAAGATTCACTTGTACTGGACAGTGGGGTTCAACGGAGAGCGCCGAAAAGCGTTCCAGATGATTGAAGAACCACTCCGACAGAGCATGCAGCTCAATGTTTGGATTGCGATCCAAAGCAGTGCCGGGGGCAACTTCTATCAGGGATGCGCCGCCCCAGGAAGGGAATGCCACTTCAGGCGAGACTTGAACGCGCCTTGGACGAGGGCGACTCTGCCCCAGATCGCGCGCGGCCCCGCACTCAACGACTTGGCCAGTGCAAAACACGCGGCACGCCCACGTGGAAGCGTCTCTTTCAGGCGAAGCCTGCGCCTTGCCTAGGCGAGAACGACGTTCCGCCCGCTCGCGCGCCACCCTGATGTCGCCGAGAGGGCGAACAGCAAATGTGCGCCGCGCCCAGGAGGGAGCGCAATATTCAAAGAAAGAGCGACCGCGGCGCCGAGGCAAACGCCGACATCTCGCGCTTTCGCGCGCGGTGCGCGCATGCGGAAAGGAAAAGCGTCGATCTCGCATTTGTTCCTGGATGAGTAGGGTGGGCGAGGGCCAGGCAGCACAGTCGGGGCACACACACTGGAAAG